AGCAATGGCCACTGGGCTGGAAAAGGTCAGTTTTCATTACAATCCCAAAGAAACGCAATGTTAAAGAATATTCAAACTATCACACAACTGCGCTCATTTCACATACTAGCAAAAAGTATGAAAAGTGTTAATCACTTAGTCGTGTCTGATTCTTTGCAACCCCGTGGACTGTGGCCCACCAGGCTCCTCTGTCCATGGAATTCTCCAGACAAGAACACTGGAGTGGGTAGCCATTCCACTCTCCAGGGGATCTTCCCAACCCAGGGATTTAACCCAGGTCATCTGCACTGCAGGCAGATTCTTTACCATCTGACCCACCAGGAAGGACCACATGCTAGCAAGGTAAGGCTCAAAATTCTTCAAGCTAGGCTTCAACAGTACATGAACCAAAAACTTCCAGATGGAAGCTGGATTTAGAAAAGGCAGAGGAACCAGAGATCAAATTGCCAGCATCCTTTAAATCTTAGAAAAATCAAGAGAATTCCGGAAAAACACCTACTTCTGCTTCACTGACTACACTAAAGCCTTTGATTGTGTGGATCACAACAAACGGTGGAATATTAAAGAGATGCGAATACCAGACCACCTTACCTGCCTCCTGAGAAACCTGTATGCAGGTCAAGAAACAACGATTAGAACCAGACATGACACAATCAGTTCAGTTCAGTCACTCAATCGTGTCCAACTCTTTGTGACCCCATAAACCACAGCACGCCAGGCCTCCCTGTCCATCTCCAACTCCTGGAGTCCACCCAAACCCATGTCCATTGTGTCGGTGATGCCATCCAACCATCTCATCCTCTGTCATCTGCTTCTCCTCCTGCCCTCAATCTTTCCCAGCATCAGGATCTCTTCAAATGAGTCAGCTCTTCGCATCAGGTGGCCAAAGTACTGGAGTTTCAGCTTCAACATCAGGCCCTCCAATGAACACCTAGGACTGATCTCCTTTAGAATGGAATGGTTCAAAATTGGGAAAGGGGCACGTCAAGGCTATATACTATCATCCTGTTTATTTAATTTTTATGCAGAGTATATCATGTGAAATGCTGGGCTGGATGAATCACAAATTGAAATCAAGACTGCCGGGAGAAATATCAACAACCTCAGTTAAGAAGATGATACCATTCTAATGGCAGAAAGCAGAGGAACTAAAGAAACTCTTGATGAGGGTGAAAGAGGAGAGTGAAAAGCTGGCTTAAAACTCAATATTTGAAAAACTAAGATCATGGCATCCAGTCCCATCACTTTGTGGTAAATAGATGGGGAAAAGTGGAAACAGTGACAGATTTTCTTGGGCTCCAAAATCACTGTGGACGGTGACTGCAGCTATGAAATTAAACTTGTTCGTTGGAAGAAAAGCTATGACAAACCTAGACAGCATATTAAAAAGCAGAGACATCACTTTGCCAACAAAGGTCCATAAAGTCAAAGTTTCAGTTTTTCCCATAGTCATATACAGATGTGAGAGTTGGACCATAAAGGAGGCTAAGTGCCAAAGAAGTGATGCTTTCTATTTTTGGTGCTGGAGAAGACTCTTGAGAGTTCCTTGGACAGCAAGGAGATCAAACCAGTCAATCCTAAAAAGGAAATCAACCCTGAATATTCATTGAAAGGACTGATGCTGAAGCTCCAAAACTTTGGCCACCTGAAGCTGAAGATGGAAAAGTCCCTGATGCTGGGCAAAAGAAGGGGGCAGCAGAGGATGAGATGGTTAGATAACAGCACCAACTCAATGGACATGAATCTGAGCAAACTCCAGCAAATAGTGAAGGACAGGGAAGCCTGGAGTGCTGCAGTTCATGGAGTTGAAAAGGGTCAGACATGACTTAGTGACTGAACACCACCACCCATTCATGATAAAAACTCTCAGTGAACTAGCAAATAAAAGGGAACTTTCTCAACTTAAATTAGAAACTTTCCTACTAAGAAAGAAAAGATGTCTGCTCTCATCAATCCTTTTTGGCATCTTACTGGAAGTCCTAGTGAATGCAATAAAAGAAAATAAAAGTAATACAGATTTGAGAGAAAGAAATAAAACTATCTCTGTTCACAAATGACATGATCATCTAGGTAGAAAATGCCAAAGAATCCCCCAAAATCTTCTGGAACTAATAAACAAGCTGCAGAATACGAGGATAAAGTACAAAATTCAACAGTTTTCCTATGTATCAAGAAAGAACAAGTGGAAAACACGATACCGTTTACATTATCACACCCCAAAAGTGAATACTTAGTTATAAACCTAATATATACAAGACCTATATGGGGAAAATGAAAATACACTGATGAAAACAAAGAACTAAATAAATGGAGAGGCAGTCAATGTTCATGAACAGGAAGACTCATACAGTTAAGATGTCAGTTCTTCCCCACTTAATCTATAGATTCAATGCAAGCATAATCAAAATCCCTGCAAGTTATCCTGTGAATATGGTTGAACTGATTCTCAAGACTATATAGAGACAGAATAGCCAACACATACTGAAAATGAACAAAGTTGGTGAGCTGACACTGCCCAAGTTCAAGACCTTCTTAAAAACCTACAGTAATCAAAACAGTGCAGTACTGTTACAAGAACAGACTAATAGGTCAAGGGAACAGACTAGAGAGCCCACAAATAAGATTCAAATAAAGCCAACTGATCTTTGACAAAGAAGCAAGGACAGTATCAGAGCAGAGAGTCTTCTCAAACAGTGCTGAAATAGCAGAACACCCGCATGCAAAAAAAAAAAAAATTACTCTAGACACAGACCTTCCAACATTCACATCAATTAATTCAAAATAGATCATAAACCAAAATGTAAAACTCAAAATTTTAAGAATCCTAAAAGATAACCTAAGAGAAAACCTACATGACCTTAAATATGGCAATGACTTCTCAAGATACAAAATCAAAGGCATGATCCATGAAAGAAACCACTGATAGGCTGAACTTCATTAAAATAATAAACTTCTGCTTTGTGAAAGACAACATCAAGAGAATGAGCAGACAGACCACAAACTGGCAAAAAATATTTGCAAAAGACATGTTATCCAAAATATACAAAGAAGTCTGAAGACAACAGTAAAACAATCTGATTAGAAAATAGGCCAAAGACTTTAACAGATACCAAAGAAGATACACAGATGGCAAATAAGCACATGAAAAGATGCACCACAACACGTCATCAGGGAAAGGCAAATTTAAACAAGATACTACTACACACCTATTAGAAAGGCCAAAATCCAGAAAATTGACAATGCTGACAAGGATGTAGAGCAGCAAGAACTCTCTTTCACTGCAAACTGGCACAGCCACTTTAGAAGAGTTTGGCAATTTCTTATAAACCTAAACATACTGTCAACCAGGACTTCCCTGGTGGTCCAGTGGCTAAGACTCCACGTTTCCAACACAGGGGGACCAGGTTTGATCCCTGGTCAAGGAACCAGATCCCACATGCTGTAACTGAAGAGTTCAAATGCCATAACTAAAGATCTGGCATGCCACAACGAAGATGGAAGATCCCGTGTGCCATAACTAAGAACTGGGGCAGCCAAATAAACAAACAAAGAAATAAATAAATAAACATGCTATTACCATCCAGTCTTGGAACCATGATCCTTGGTATCTATCCAAATGAACATTAGACTTAGAAACAGATGTTCATGGCAGTTTTATTCATAACTGCCAAAACTGAGATGCAACTAAGATGTCCTTCAAGAGAATGGATGAATAAATGAACTGATACAACCAAACAAAAAAATGTGCTATCAAGTCATGAATAGACATGAAGAAACTTTATATACATATTACTAAGTGAAAGAAGCCAAGTTGAAATGGCTACAACACTGTATGATTCCACATATACAACTTTCTAGACAAGGCAAAGCTATGCGACAACAAAAAGATCAGAGGTTTCCAGAGGCGAGGGGAACAGGAGATTAACAGGTAGAACATGGAGGATTTTTAAGGCAATGAAAATACTCTGTATGATACTATTATGGTGGATAGATGTCTTTACATTATTTGTCCAAACCCACAGAAAGTATATCACCAAGAGTGAACCTTTATGCAATCTATGGACTTTGGATGATTATGACGTGCCAATATAAGTTCATCAATTATAAACAAATGCACCATTCTGGTGGTGGATGTTGATAATGGGAATGGCTATGTATGTGTGGGGACAGAAGTTGTAATAGGAAATATCTAAACTTTGCTCTCGATTTTGCTGCAAACCTAAAACTGCTCTTAAAAAAAAATAGCCTTCAATAAAAATAAATAACACAAGTTCAAATTTTAAAAGTGCAACAGTGTTATCATGTTATTTTAGCTTGTTTTTAGTCAGGAAATTTATGGATTAGGATGTCCATAGGGCAAAAAATTCTTATTTATTTAGCCATGCTGGGTCTTAGATGCGGCATGCATGATCTTTAGTGGGATCCTGCATGTGGGATCCAGTTCCCTGACAAGGGATTGAACCTGGACCTTCTGCACTGAAAGCATGGAGTCTTAGCCACTGAACCAGCAGTTAAGTCCCAGGAAATTCTTACATACTAGACATAAATTAGTTTACTTTCAATTTCTTCTGAGCCTCATTGGGTAAGTCTTGTTTCAGTTATGATTTGGGGGTCATTCTTTTCCCTTCTCCAATTAATCAAGAGTTATCTATATATACTGTATATGAACTATATTTTAATATTTTTTAAATGCTGTCTATATATTAACAAGGAATAGACATGCATGATTAACAAAAGTCTGAATCTAAAATCTAAGGTTCCCACTGGGATAAGTCATCTAGTTTGCCTACAATTCTAGATTGTGAACCCAACTGATATTCATTACAGAAAAATGAACTATCAATTTGCAGAATGGAAAAGCAACTATCACTTCACAAATGTGGGGTATTTTATAGTGGCTTGCATTATCAGTAATACCTAAAGTCACAAGTCCACATAACCAACATTTTAAATTCAAATCTTCCTTTTATCTCTAAGAACAGAAAATTGTTTTTACCTACCTTTCAGAAACCTCTTGCTTCAACTGAGGGACTTCACCAAGTGCTGAATCAATATCCATGAAACCAAGAAAATCTCGCTTTATATTAAGGGAAGGCTTCTCCAAACCCTTGCCTGATGTTTCCTGACCCCTTGATAAAGGATCCAAATCTGTTAGCTGCATCTCTGACCCCTCACCTTCTGTAAGACGGACCCGTTGACCAGGAGAACTGGGAACACTGTTCCCTTCTTGGTCAGAGCTGTTCTTTTGCTTTCCATCTCTCTGGGGCTTACTATTCAGGCCATCATCCCGGAAGCCTTTAGCAAATGGATTGTAATCTATTTTCAACTGGGTAATTTGAATGTTTTGATAAGCTGTTACTGCAAAGAATTCAGTCTGTGGGAAGGTAAAAGTGTGGACACCAGGGCCATTTAATTGTATCACTTCAGTAGCCTTTTCTGCAGGCACCAAGTGAAGCCGTGGCAAGTAGCGATGCATAGAGTGCAAGATAATATGGCCTTCTTGGTCCAGCGTATTGTTTGTAAGTTTGAGTTTGTAGAAAGACACTGGCTGATGCATCCAATAGTGGCCTGTGGAAGGAGACTCCGGATGGATAAAAACCCTCCCCACTACATGCGGCTCAGCCTTCCCGCTGGGCTCCCACCAGCGGCCGTTCCACTTGTAACGGTGATTATCCACGGGGGATATATCCATGACAAGGATGTATTTCATATTTGAATCTAAACCTGTTATCCAGTAACGACAGTAAGGAAACATGCGTCTTCCCTGCTTCGTCAGAATCATCTCTGTGCTTCGATGATAGAATTCGTTCCACATACTATTGTTATCCAAGGTGACAGTGATTCCTCCTACAGTACAATCAGCTGGAAGGCAAATCTTTCCTTTAGATTTTTCTGGTGATGACACACTGGTAGCCAAAGCACAGGCATCCCGATTAGTAACCAAAATTCCTTGATCAGTTTTGCCATTTCCTGGCTGTTTCAGGATGACAAAGAAGGTAGGTGCTGCTCCTGGCACTGTCCCGCCATCTTGATTAGCCAATATAATCTGCTGTTTCTCCTCCATGATTCCAGTGAGAAAATCAGTAGTAAGATAATTGTAGTTACCACATAATCACAATGGCCTTCCCAGCCTAAAAAAAACAACACAACACTTTAATCAAATGAACATTTATTTTATTAACAAAAATGTAAGAATGATTATGTTATCCCAAAACACATTCCTAAATTCTTCTAAGATTTGGCTTCTACTTTTCTCTCAGTTGCTGTAAGGATATTCATTCTGGAATATTTGATTATCTATTTTAAAGTTCATTTTAATCTAATTAAGTTACTCATATCCCAATCCTTCAATAATTCACTATACATGCAATAACCTCACATAAAAAGTATTCATTTTAGAAAAATTATATGAAAATATAAAAGTATACAGACTTAAGAAGACTAAATTGTAAAGTCATCTGCATTCCAAAAGAACCCCAATAATTTATGAATTAATTTGAGAGGATTCTGTTACAAGCACATTCTCCTGAGTAAAAATAAACAAATTTCCATGTTATCACTGTACAGAGAATCACCTCTTTTATTAGAGTACCGGCATGAGTTGATACATAAGTAAAATGCTATTTAACTTATTAGTACATGAAAGCGAAAGTGTCAGTCGCTCAGTTGTGTCTGACTCATTGGGAACCCATGGACTGTAGCCCACCAGGCACCTCTGTCCATGGGATTCTCTAGGCAAGAATACTGGAGTGGGTTGCCATTACCTTTTCTAGGGGATCTTCCCAACCTAGGGATGGAACCTGGGTCTCCTGCATTGCAGGTTGTTTCTTTATGAACTGAGCCATCAAGGAAGCCCTGTTAGTACATACATTTAAAGAAAACATGACAAAACACCAGAACTTACTGGAAAAAGAAATAGGTGGCTCCACAACTCAGACCTTACACTGAAAAAAATTCCAACAGACCAAACACTTAAATCCCACCCCCTACTCCCAAATCAGTGTAATTTTTTTTTAATTCTTAAAGAAATCTTGAAAAAAGATTTTTGATAATAAGTAGTACACAAAACCTAGAAGTTAATAAGACAACAAAATTTTTGATAAATTCAGAATCATGTAAATTTGTTCTTAACATGACAAAAACTATCCATGCAAGATTTAAAAAATGACTAACTGGAAAACAGTACCTGAAACATATCATAAAGAACTCATTTCCCTAATATAAAAAGGAATTTTATACAAATTGGAAAAACAAAAAATCTAATAGCAAAATGGACAAAGGACAGGAATTGCAAATGGTTAAGAAAATGTACACAGTCACAGAACAGAAGGAATTAAAGTCATCCTAAGATACTGCTTTTTACCCTAGCAGAATGACAAAAATCAAAGTCTGTCAAAGGTGCTGGAAAAGGTGTGTGTCAACCAGCATTCTCATCTAATCAGCCACTCAGAGTGTAAGATGACAGAATCTCAGAGTATAGTATGAAAATATAAAAAGTAAGATGAATGGATAAGGAAGCTGTGGTACATATACACCACAGAATATTACTCAGCCATTAAAAAGAATTCATTTAACAGATCACCAGCCCAGGTTGGATGCATGAGACAAGTGCTCGGGCCTGGTGCACTGGGAAGACCCAGAGGGACCGGGTGGAAAGGGAGGTGGGAGGGGGGACCAGGATGGGGAATACATGTAAATCCATGGCTAATTCATTTCAATGTATGACAAAAACCACTGCAATGTTGTAAAGTAATTAGCCTCCAACTAATAAAAATAAATGGAAAAAATAAATAAAAAGAATTCATTTTAATCAGTTCTAATGAGATGGATGAAACTGGAGCCTATTATACAGAGTGATGGAAGCCAGAAAGATAAAGACCATTACAGTATACTAACACATATATATGGAATTTAGAAAGATGGTAATGATAACCCTATATGCAAGACAGAAAAAGAGACACAGATGTACAGAACAGACAACTGGACTCTGAGAGAGAAGGCGAGGGTGGGATGTTTTGAGAGAACAGCATCAAAACATGTACATTATCAAGGGTGAAACAGATCACTAGCCCAGGCTGGATGCATGAGACAAGTGTTCGGGGCTGGTGCACTGGGAAGACCCAGAGGGACTGGGTGGAGAGGGAGGTGGGAGGGGGAATCAGGATGGGGAATACATGTAAATCCATGGCTGATTCATGTCAATGTATGGTAAAAACCACTACAATATTGTAAAGTACTTAGCCTCCAACTAATAAAAATAAATAGAAAAAAAAAGAAAATATCAAAAGTAGAAACACATACATCCCAGGAAACAATGGTTCTTCTAGGACTTTATCTTACATACCTATGTGCAAACACACATACACACCTGTAATAAATGGTGGACATCCACACCTGTAATAAATGGTGGTACTATGAAAGAGTGGGATATTCTGCAACTAGAAAAAGAATTATAAATCTTATAGACAAATTAACATTATCTAAAAGAGATACAAAGGGCATAAAGTTCAAAAGAGTTATAGATTATGCTATATACTTCTATAAGTTTAAACAAAGAAAAAGCCAAAAAAAGAAAAGAATATGTATGTACTTGCCTGACACAGACTACCTGCAAAGACAGAGGAGGAACTGGTAGTATTGAGTTTATTAAGCGAAAACAGGGTGGCTGGAAAAATACTCTTGACACTTTCTAAATTTTTTATCTCATGACCGTACAGCCTACCCCCCCCCAAAAAAAGAAACCTTAAATTAGTTAATTCATAAAAGTTACACAAAAAAAACATATACTGTATGATTCCATTTATAAGAAATGTTCAGAATAGGTAAATCTATAAAGTAGATCAGTGGTTGAAGTGAAAAGGGAGAGGGTTAATTAGGACAATTGTTAACAGTTTGGGGTTTTCTGTAAGAGTGATGGAAATGTTCAGGAACTAAAAACTAGTTAATGTATCCTTTAAAATGTTGAATTTTGGGACTCCCTGCTAGTCCAGTGGTTAAGACACCACACTTCCAATGCAGGGGGCCTGGGCTCAATCCCTGGTCAGGGAACTAGATCCCACACGCTGCAACCAAGAGCCCACATGCCAGCAACTGAAGACCCCGCATGCTGCAACTAAGACCTGGTATAGTCAAATAAACATATAAATGTTTTAAATAGTTAATTTTTATGTGAATTATATCTCAATAAACCATTATAAAGAAATCTCAGGTTGTTAGATTCAACTGAAGTGATATGCAAAAATAAATTACCTAAATATTCTACAAAATATAAAGATCACCTTCAATTAGCTTTTATAAAGAAAAGGAAAATAAAAAAAAAAATTTTTAAAAAGGAAAATACTGTATCACTAGGCTTCCCAGGTGGCGCTAGGGGTAAAGAATCCACCTACCAATGTAGGAGACATAAGAGACACAGGTTTGATCCCTGGGCTGGGAAGATCTCCTAGAGAAGGGCATGGCAACTCACTCCAGTGTTCTTACCTGCTGGAGAATCCCGTCGACAAAGGAGCCTGGCAGGCTACAGTCCATAGGGTCACAAAGAGTCAAACACAACTGAAGCAACTTAGCACACACACACACTCTTGTTTAACTGGGTCAGTAATTTCTGACTAATCAAACTGAGCCACTTACTGGTGTTCCTCTTTTTAACTAAAAGTCTAATTTTACTTTTCATCAGAGCTACTGACAAGCAATAAAAGCATCTGATCTGAATTTTACATCTTTCAGGATTGGCCACATGATCCCCCCAAAAAAGTAGGGGGGCTCCAAAACTTAAAATATTATCTTCAGGATAATACTTTAAATATCAACACTTCAAAAAAGGTTGGTTATTGTTTCTGACCATGGCTAGATATGAAATAGAAACCCTACTTTCTAACACTAAAGCACTAATACTTAGGAGAGGTAAAAAAAAAAAAAAGAAAAAAAAAAAACCTCTCCTCTGATTTGGAGTTTAAGAGATAGATAAAATTTAGAATGATTCTTTTCAAAGCTTCCTCAGGCTTAAGGCAATTAAGTTTATTGATTTCCTAAAACTAGTTAAAATAACATCTATCAGAGACTGATAAGACAAAATTTAAACAGACTTATAAGTCACAAATACAATGACTTTTATAAAAACAGTAAAGTTCAGAAAGTTCATAAAAACCAATACCTCCAAAACGGTGTATAACTGGTCAAAAAGGCCATCATCAAAATATCTACAAACAATAAATACTGGAAAGGATGTGGAGAAAAGGGAACCCTCTTGCACTGTTGGTGGGAATGTAAACTAATACAGCCACTATGGAGAACAGTATGGAGATTCATTAAAAACCTAGGAATAAAACTACCACTGTTGTTTTTCAGTCACCTAGTCATATCTGATTCGTTGCAACCCCACGGACTGCAGCACTTCCAGGCCTCTCTGTCCCTCAACATCTCCAGAAGTTTGCCCAAGTTCAAGTCCATTCCATCGGTGATTCCATCCAGCCACCTCATCCTCTAACGCCATCTTCTTCTGCCCTCAATCTCTCCCAGTATCAGGGACTTTTCCAGTGAGTCGGCTACTCACATCAGGTGACCAAAATACTAGAGCTTCAGCTTCAGTATCAGTCCTTCCAATGAGTATTCAGGGTTGATTTCCCTAAGATTGACTGGTTTGCTCTCCCTGCTGTCCAACCATTATGACCTAGCAATCCCACTACTGGGCATATACCCTTAGAAAACTAATTCAAAAAGACACATGTACCCCAATGTTCACTGCAGCACTATTTACAATAGAGACAACATGGAAGCAACCTAGATATCCATCAACAAAAAAACAGATAAAGAAGTTGTGGTACATACATGTGGAATATTACTCAGACATAAAAAGGAATCAACGTCAGTTGAACTGATGCAGATGAACCTAGAATCGGTCAAACAGATAAAGAAGTTGTGGTAGATACATACAATGGAATATTACTCAGCCATAAAAAGTAACAAATGTCAACTGAACTGAGGGGGATGAACCCAGAGCCTGTCAAATAGAGTAAAGTAAGTCAGGAGAAAAATATCATATATTAATGCATATATACAGAATCTAGAAAAATGGCACTAGTGAACCTATCTGCAGGACAGGAATACGTAGAGAGATGCAGATATGGAGAATGGACTTATGGCAGTGGGGGAACACTACCATGTGTAAAATAAGATAGCTGGGGGAAGCTGCTATAAAACACAGGGAAACCAGCCCAAAGTTCTGCATCAACCTACAGGAGTGAGATGGGGGGAGGTGCTCAAGAGGGAGAAGATATATATATACCTATGGCTGATTAGGATTATTATAGAAAAAAAAAAAGGATTATTGTATGACAAACCAACACAACACTGTAAGGCAATTATCCTCCAACTAAATAAAACAAAGCTAAAAACATAAAATTAAACTGTATATAAATCAAATAACACAAACTCCTAATCTTGTACTTAGTCCATAAAGTTCAGTTTTGTTACAAATCAAGTATTTTTGTAAGCAATTATGCAAAAACACACTTATGAAGTGCATTTAAGACAGGCAGCAAAGAACTACTTGAAAAAATTGTTTAGCTATCCCAAACCTACGAAGACATTAAAGAGTTCAGAATTTCCTAAACACTGTCTTCTATAATAATAAAATCTTGATTTTTCAGATGATTTTTACAGGTAAAAGTGGACAAGGAAGTTTTAACCAATGCTTTAAAAATCACTTTTAAAAATTAATAATATGATATATCAAAGATTCTACTGATGGGAATCCAGTTTAGAGACTGTACTATAATAAATTTTAAACTTCCATTATATATACACATTTCAAAATTTTCCTTTCATCGAAACACAAAAATTAAGTTCAGAAGAGTCAGACTGCTTTATTTGCACTCTGTACACAAGTATCTAATAAATGTAAAAATGTATGTATTAAGTTCAAAAAAAGTTTGAACTTTCAGACTTTTGACTTGTATAGTCTTTTTTTTAATCCTCCTGTCAAGTTTATTCTATAAATTGATCAAAATGTGTAAAACCGAAAATGTAATTTACAAACAAAATAGTATCTATCTTAAGCCATGTGTTGCTAAAGGTTTACAGACAAGAAATAAAATTTTATTCCACAACAATTTTTAAGCATGAATTTCACTTCACTATGCCTACACTTTTGGGATACAATATTGGATTTTCTAAGGAAAGGATAGTCAATTCAGCAATTCAGCTGTGTCAGACACACAAATACCACTCTAAAGTCTAAGATAACTTTAACCAATTGCAAAAATCAAATTACTTAGGCTACTCATGAAGCAATAAATCTCCTTCCAGAAAGATTCTAAAAATTCTCTGAAAGCATTAAGGAAGACCACAGTTTTGGTATACAGATATAACTTAGGATTCAAAAAAATTTCAGTTCAGCTTTTCAAGATCAAGCAGTTATCCACATAGAATTACTATAATAATGACCTACAGAGATAAATTCAGTTGTGGCTGGGAAATATTCTAAGTAACATTCTGAAGATGTCAACATCAGAAGGTGCAGGCACTCACATCAACACACAAATGCAATTTCAGAGAATGTTTTCCGGTAATGTGCCAAGTATCATAAGAAAACTGTTACAATTCCAGAGTACCTATTCTGAGTATCCTTTCACCAATGACCTCTTTGGTAAATGTTTAGTAACTACTAAAGCCAAGATCTTCATACAACTTACAAAATACACTAGTTAGTTTACTAGCGAGTTACCTAATTCAGATACTAGTATCGGTCTCCCCCTCCCCCACCACCACCCCCCCACCCAACTCCTGCAACAAAGTAAACCAAAATTCCAAACCAATACTACTACTTTAAAAACACAAAACATTACAAAACATTCAAATGATAATCAACCTAAACTGAGTGTTTTCAAAGTTGCTAAAAATAACCATAACTTTTCATACAGTGAATGCATTACTCTAAGGTAGGCATGGAGATGCTAGTTTGTTCCTTGACGTAATTATTCCCTACAGGAGTGCGGTTAAATTACATTTCTGAAGCTCAAATTTGTAAGAGAATAGATTCACTTGAATTTCAGTATTCATCAATATACAATGGACCCAGAAATTTGAAAAATCTTTTAAAAAGCATAATTTACATACAAAAGTAATCAGAAAAAACGACAGCACGGGATGTAAAGACAATAAAATAGCCAACTATCCTTTCTTAATCGTCATTAGGTTAACTTTAATAATCAAATAAATGGTGTACGTGCATGCTAACTCGCTTCACTCGTACCTGACTCTGCGACCCTATGAACTGTAGCCCGCCAGGATCCTGTCCTTGGGATATTCCAGGCAAGAACACTGGAGTGGGTTGCCATGGTACTCACTATCTATTAGTACGCACTGACTTTGTACCAGAAACTATACCCTTGGCATTTTATCATGACTACAACCCTTAATTTGAAACGTAAATTCCAAAATATATCTGAAATGCTTTTAGGTTTTAAGGCACGAAGTTGCATTTACCTAAGATAGTAGCCCATCCCCACACCCTTCTTTCACCAAATACCATTCGTTAATGCAGGTTTCATGAGCATTTTCTATTCCTAGGAATGATCCCTTTACCACAGCTCAGGGTTAGCAAGCTAGCAGGTCCCTAATACTTGCCTAAGTAGATTTTAAAGAACTAACTTTTATGGCAGAAATGGACAGCAATCAAATAGCAACCTTGCCTTGGATAAAGTATGTCAAGGTACCCAGGGCACTAAGTTTTCTCAAATCCTAAGCATGTGTTTTCTGGAAGGTGCATCCAACCCACTCAACTCACACAACAGCTGGAATCAGCTCTCTGGCATCAAGAAGGACTAGCGACAACTACAGACACTTCGAGGTAAAAAGGCCGCCTGCCGGTCTCAGAGAACCGCAGTCGCCGTCGACTACCAGGGCCCACATCACCGCTTTTCAATTAGAGAGGCTAGCTAGCCAAGAACCACGTGAAAAAAATGCCTCAAGGAAAGCACTTCTGGGGAAGGGGAGTCCGATAGATAACGTGCCGCCAGCCGGAACCCGCGGATCACTCAGCGGGATCCAGTTGCATGCGGTTACCGTGGAGACTACAGAACCTGCCGTCCGGCCCTCCCAGGCCGGCCCTCTTCCCAGCAGCCGTCACGGCACCTCCAGGCACTTTCCCTGCAACCTTAGCCAAGGCGTCGCGCCCAAAAAGAGGCAGAGCAGGCAGGATTTGCCAGGGACTCTGCCGTAGAAGCCTGGTGTGCTTTAAAACACACAAGGCAGGGCGCGGGTGGGCTCGAGACGTCTCTCGATCCACGTGTCTGCCCCTGCGACGCGAACCCTGGGAGCGTGGTCTTCCCTCAGAAGGAAGAAAACTTTGGATATTCACATTGTTCTGCCATCAATAACTCTTCTTTTCAGAACTCCTTCAACCTCCCTGCTTCCATCCTCTCCAGAGGACGCATGGCATCTCTAGAGTTCCGAAGGCAGAGTAAAAATCTTCACAAGACACTACCACTTCCCACTCTCAACCCAATTTGAAATAATCCCTAAATTTTCTATACTCCTCGCACGCAGATTCCTCAACTTTGGTTGCTAGTACTTGGAGCGGTGTATTTCTATCCCAGACCCACCTACTGCTGAGAGCACAGACCTTGACCATTTAACAGAGGAGGGAAGTCACACAGAGAACTGGCCAAAGGATGCCCCACAGAGGGGAAAAGAAAATAACACCTGCTCTTCCCACCTGTTTTCCGTCCTCATTTCTACACTTTCGAACCACCGGTCCTTTGTTTACCAAGTTCCCAGTCCTATACAGCTCACTTCCTCGACCTCCTTCCTTATTAAACTCGCGGTCTTGCTTCAAACAACTTGTCAGGAAATTACATGCTAGACGAAAGGTTCATACAGGTGTCAAAATGCTGCACACAGCTCCTCAGAAATGCGAGGTCAGCACCGTTTCGTTCGGAGTTTTGGAACGCCGAGACCTGGGCTCTAAAAGGCAAAGCGCACAAGCACGGCTCTCGACCCAAAGCCCCACGACTGGCTGGAAGGCGTCACGCGGATCGTACCATGCGGTGCAGCACCCCACACAGGCGAGGGCAGGGCTGCGCCATGGGCGCTTCTCACCCCGCCCGCCTCGTGGCCGCTCTAGCTGGCGTCGATGTTCCGAGTTCACCGCGCGACGCGGAAGTGAGGCCGGGGACGCGCGCGAGGTGACATGCGCAGCCTCGCTCGGAAGACCATAGGCGCGCGCCAAAGGCGGCCCCGCGCAAGGCCCGGCCTAGCCGGGGCGTGCGAAGATCGCTCGGTGGAACGCTCCTCACACCGTAAAAAATACACAAGAGCTTCAAACTCTCGGAAAACTCCAATCCGGTCACTACTAAGGAGACGCCCTCCACCCGGGCCCGAGAGTTACCGTGCGGGGCGTGGCCGGCCTCACCCGGAGTCCTTCACATCCCGCTGGGGGCGGGTTATTCTGTTCGGTTCGCACACCGTGTGTCCGCTCCAGCTGAAGAGCCTGCGCGCGCATCGGACGTACACGTCATCGCGCACGCGCTCCTACCCGCTCGGAGCCCGTCGCGCAAGCGCAAAAGGAGGCGCGAGCAGCACCTCCCTCGCCCCTCCCCCAACGCCAGGAGGCCAAACGGCCCGGGAGCTGAGACAAGACCCTTGGGACCCGCCCCTGGAGCTGAAGCGGCTGCCTTTCCGGGTACCAGCAACCGAGAAAAGCCTACTGAAGCTTCCAGAATCAAGAATGGCGAGGCAGGAGGGAGGCATCCCAATTCCCTCAGCCTCGCACACGAAGCCTTCGTGAAAACTGTGAAACCTTTGCCCACGGGCTTTCTCGTCTGTGCCTGCCACCTTTTCCCTTGGGCTCCTCGCTGGCCCCGCCCCTGCTGCGCCCAGCCCCACCCACGTGAGATTCCGCAGCCCCCAGGCTTTACAAGTCCGTCAAAAGAATCGGAGATCTTCCTCCCCACTGTGCTGTGGTCTTGGGAAAGAGCCACGACGTCGGGAAACCTTGAAGAAAACATCCTGTGAGACGGGGGATCAATTTTGCAACATCCACGACCGAAGACCACTAATAAAGTAGGGAGGAGTCCGAAAACCTCAGTGCCGAGTGAGAAAGGAAGAATTGCTACTAGCTCACCTGATACATCTCGATAAAAACAGTAAAACGTGGAAATGAGAATTTTGGACGATAGCGAGTATTATCCAAGGTTAATGCCCTGATCCTGCGTTTTTAATTGTTTGTTCGAGATATTTAAGCTATGAGGTACAACAAAAAAGTATGTGTCCAGCAACTGCTGAATTAACTTGATGGTATGGTATTTCTCCCAACCAAATATCAAAAATATCTTCTTCCCTACCCCTTACCAGCCATTCTTTCTTCTCTGCTAACATCCAGTAAAAAGACAATCGTTTAAAGTGGGAGAAAAGAGGCAAAAGAGAAGTAGGAAGTAAGAGAGCATAAATTGTGGTCCATGTTTCCACTTTCCTGTCATTCTCTTAGAAGAACTGGCAAATACTGAGAACCTATTACCGGCTAGGTGACTTAATATAAAACACTGTGAAGGAGAAGGAGGCGATTACAAGAAAAGAGCCAAGAGGAAGAGGCTTATCCAACAAGACATTAATCTGTGCTGGACTCCAGGCATATTAGGAAGAGTCTTCTTTTCCTTCTGCTGTTCCTGAGAGGATACGCCACACCATGAGGAGAAACTGCTGAAATCAGTATGGAATGGAAAATATGCAGGCTAACGTTGACGGACTTCTGAAGTTGCTCTGAAACCCCCATTCGAGCACTGTCAACCACATTTGTTGCATTACTGGTGCAAGAAAATAATATGCAAGACCCTAGGCAAAATTGAAAAGTAAGTTTTCCACACCTTCCTCCTCTTCCCTGACCCCAAGAACCTCTTTCCTGGAAGCTGCCTTTTCAGAATCTCCCACCTCATCCAAGAATGCCTTCCTCTCAAAGGTCTAAGGTTTCCTCTTATAAATTTTCCATTTTCTAAAAAAAAAAAACTCCATTTTCTGAAGCAAAAATAAAATTTGTGTTGACTTATTATTTAAGCATCTAATCCTAAAGTCTAAATGAATGATGACTGATTAACAACCATGTCTAGCCAGAGGTGCATCCCCAAAAGAACAAGTTAGCATTGGAGAATCTGTGAGGACACCTTGGTGGTGAGGGAGAATGAAGTTTTTCTTTTGCTTCTCTCTCCCTACACCAAGCAAACATTATGAAATGCCAGGCACTTAAAAAAGTTCAAGATTCAGCACTGGATTTCCTGGTGGGAGAGGTAAACTACTTGTATTTTCCAGAGTGGAATCTGCCTAACCTATAAAGAGCTAGAGATGTACTATCAAGAATCTGAGAACTTATTAAACTTTTTATATGTAATCTAAAAATAACATTGCCACACCATTTTAGTGGCCTATTTTTTATTTAATATCATTTTCTCTCTTTAGTCACTATGTCATGTCCGACTCTTGTGACCCCATGGACTGTAGCCTGCCAGACTCCTCTGTCCATGGGATTCTCTAGGCAAGAATACTGGAGTGGGTTGCCATTTCCTTCTCCAGAGGATCTTCCCAACCCAGGGATCAAACCCAGGTCTCCTGCATTGCAGGCAGATTCTTTACCAAATGAGCTACAAGGGAAGCCCAACATCTATCATGCTAGTACCAAGTAACCACTTTTTTGTTTTGGCTTCTTCAAGTAACCTCTGTGTTTACATTCAGTGTTTAATGCAGTGTATCTCAGACTGGGATCCTTGGGTGTACTCTCTGCATATATAAGGATGACTTCCTTTAAAAGGCTTATATAATCCAACTTTTTTAAATTCCAAACTAACTGCAAGAATTGATGCTTTTGAGTTTCACAGGCAGACCTCAATGGTTCAGTTAAAGAGCACTCAGTGACTATGTCTCTGCCCAGTTCTGGAATATTCAAGGAGTTTCCACATGACATCGGTTTGCTGGTGGATTCTGTTTAAGTTGAATTCACTTAAATCATTAGGACTGAGTGGTTGAATGACTGGGGCCGAGCTTCAAGTGCCAGGAGATCCTGCTCCTTTCTATTGGAATTCTCTCACTATTAGGGGGGTGGGGATAGAGAATGCACACAATATAAACAATCTGGCTAAAAAGTACAGTTTTGAACCAAGATTCTTTATAAACACATAAACCCTATCAATTTACATGAACATTTTTCCTACTCAATAAATATTTGAGTGCCTTGTATATGCTGAGGAGAAAAGACAGGCACCTCATGTACTGTTACGATGTCTGCACTAGAACTCCAAAGAGCTGGCACAACTTAAACAGAATCCACCAACAGGACAAACTATACTCCTTATCCAGTCTATTCAGATCCCACCTTCCCAGTTCCAATTTCTACTGAAGACATACCTCCCTCAAATGACTAAAAGAGAAAATGATGACACCCTTCAGATGAGACCAACACCACCCCTCATAACTCCTGGGTTGCTATCCCGTTTACACTCTCTTGTTGTTGTTGTTCAGTTGCTAAGTCGCATCCAACTCTTTGCGACCCCATGGACTGCATCACGCCAGGCTTCCCTATCCTTCACCATCTCCCGGAGTTTGCTCAAACTCATGTCCATTGAATCAATGACATCATCCAACCATCTCATCCTCTCTCGTCCCCTCTTCTGCCCTCAATCTTTCCCAGAAGCAAGGTCTTTTCCAAGGTCTATTCTTTGCCTCAGGAACCCCATGAACAGTACGATATCTTAAGTCAATACAATAAAGATCATTCTTAGACTAAGAGCTACATACAGACTAAGTCACAAAAGCGGCCTGTTTTTGTTTTTTAACCAAAAAAAACCAACTACTTTTACTAGCCACGTTTCACTGAAAACTTGTGTGCTAGGCAGAAAAAAAAGGGATCATATCAGTTTATATACAACCCCATCTTTGCCTACTCTTTATTAATGCAACTAAAACCAACTCATATAGATAAAGTACAACTGGTTCAACATGTGAAACTTAAAAGTGGCAGGACTCCTGCCCTGAAGCAGCTCTAATAATCTATCCAATGAATAGCTTTAAAAGTTTCATTTAATCAGGGACTTTCCTGGTGGTCCAGTGGTTAAGACTTTGCCTTCCAATGCAGGGGGTGCAGGCTTGATCCCCGGTCAGGGAGCTAAGATCCCACATGCCTCACAGACAAAACCAAAAGCAGAAAGTAGAAGCAATATTGTAACAAATTCAATAAAGACTTTTAAAAAATGGTCCACATCAAAAAAAAAAATCTTAAAAAAAAAACTTTCTTAATCAGTATAGTAACGTGATTAAAAGCATATTTTAGAAAATATCTGTTAATATCTATTAATAAAAGTAAGAATGGAAAAGAGAAACAAATGTGGTGGAATGTTATCAATGTTCATGAAGAAACACCATTTCCTCTTGCTGCCCCATATCTTAAGCCTGCAGAATCATATTTCTTACCCTTTGCCTAAGATCTTCTCAGATGCCTCAAACCTAACTTACTTATCCTTCATGCCTAGATTTATTTTTTTTTCCATTTATTTTTATTAGTTGGAGGCTAATTACTTTACATCATTACAGTAGTTTTTGTCATACATTGAAATGAATTAGCCATGGATTTACATGTATTCCCCCTCCCACCTCCCTCTCCACCCAATCCCTCTGGGTCTTCCCAGTGCACCAGGCCCAAGCACTTGTCTCATGCACCCAACCTGGGCTGGTGATCTGTTTCACCCTAGATAATATACATGTTTCAATGCTGTTCTCTTGAAACATCCCACCCATGCCTAGATTTAAATGTCACTTCTTCAAGAAACTTTCCTTAACCCTCAGCATCAGATGTCTCCCTGTTTTGTGCTCTCACAGTACCATATATTTCTTACAACACCTGCCACAACTGTAATTATTTTTTAAATTATGCATTAATGAATGTTTTGCCCACTAGACTGTTTGCTTTATTCTAGTGCCTAGCACAGTCCCTGAAACAGAGCAAACCCATATTTGTTTACCAAATGAATATGAAACTATAGGTCCCAATTTTCCAGGCAAGTCTAAATATCAAATATTGAATTAATATGCAACAATTTGG